TAACAAAAACATTAGAATCTTAGTCCATGACATTTTAAGTTTTTTTTTCCTTTTTGGTTGTTTAGGGGTAGTTTTTTAACATATTTAGGGGTGGCCGATATTTCTACAGTAGTGGTAAACGTTGTTTATTTTTAAAGGATTAATTATTGCTTTGTTATGTATCAATATATTGACGTTTTATAACTTTTTAGGGTTTTGGCGTAAGTGTTGATGTATGAGGGGGTAGTTTTTAAACTGCAAGGGTCGTAATCGTGATTTAAACTATGCGGTTGTTTTACCTTAATTTATTAAATTATAGTGTAAACGTTTCTTATTTACATAATTTTATCATATTTTACTGTTGTTTATTGAAAACGGTGTCTCTGAGTTAAGGGTGGTTTTTCAACCCTTTCCCCAAGGTTTAGAACTTTCTAAGGGTGATTTTCGGATTCAGCAGGTCAAAATCTATAAAAACATTTACTTCTTTTACAATCCCCTTCGGGGGCAAATTTTGACTACTGTTTTGCTCAACAAAATTCCCGGTTTATCTTTTTTTATCTTATTTAAATTTATTTGATTTCAAACGTAAATAAATCTACAAATGTCAACAATAAATTGACTTATTTTATAAAAATACTCTTTTTTTAAGTTCATAATATATTATATTAATTTCAAATCATATTCCCAATAAATATATGAAATAAAAAATATTATTGTTCGTAAATTACTTATTATTAGTAAATAAATAATTACAAAAATAGTCAAATCTAACTAAAATTGCATTTCTTACAAAAATTTCAGTCACTTTTTACATAACCTAAAAGTGTATTTAACAAATAATTAGTTGTTAAGTATTTCATTAAGAAATTATTACTATTTGAATCAGCGACTGACTTTTTACTATCAATTAATTATTTTTAACTAATTCAAATTTAGAGAGCAGAATTTGTCACGTACCTTTTCTATAAAAAAACTTTCCAGACTCCAATTTTGATTTAAAAATTTCACTCTTGAAATTATATCAATTTACTTCCTCCTGTTCATAAATAATCGTTGCAAAAGGTACGTAAAGGCCTAAGCTCAACTGAGTAGGGTACGTGAGGTGAGACGAATGTGAGTTGCCATGGACCCTCACGCCTCTATTGTAATTGGTGGAAATTTTGGAAAGTAAATGTCCACCAATTAAAATAGAAGTGCGAGGCATGCGCACTTGCGTTTGGTGAGGGTTCCTGGCAGTATCATTTAGGGTGCATTTACACCTTCGGTAAAAATTTTTAGAACGAGAAAACATTGGAGTAATGGTGCGATCCCATAAAAGCAGAAAATTATGAGAGTGAAAAGAACAACAATATCTATCTATCTCTTTTCCACTGATGATTTTCTGCTTTCGGTTTACGTTTTCTGCTTTCATGGGACTGCTCCCCTTTACATACATTTTGAGGTTAAGGCCAAAGCAGAATGGAATATCTCGACTCAGTTGTGCTTAGGCCTTAACCGAACCGATACTAAAACAATAACAAAGCATACACTGAATGTGAAATATATCACTCTGTTAGATCTATATTTACTTTTAAGTTCTTACGTAATTATATATGTTTAAAATGATATAAAATATGTTGAAAAATGTAAAAATTATCAAAAAATGTAATTGACGTCGTTAAAAAAAGCGCTAAACTTACAATTTTCGTCTCTTCATAAGATATGTCTATATATGGCTAGGATACAGAATCAACAAAAAAATTTGAGGTAATATCATTTTTCATTTAATTTTGACTAGACGCACCGTGGGCTATTCGTGATTTTCCTAAATCAGAAACAATCGTGGAATTGCGAGGTTTTCTCAGCCTTGTAAATTTTTATCGGCGAAGTTTACCGAAGGTTGCAAAGGCTCAAAAACCTCTTAATATTTTTTACACGAGTCTCGTCAAAATAACAGTAGGAAAATTAAATGTAATCCCGGTTCTTCTTGCTCATCCTGCTCCGGATTCTCCGATACGACTGGTTACGGACGCTTCCGACACGGGCATGGGAGCTGCTTTAGAGAAATGGCAAAAAGGTAGTTGAAAACCATTAGCATTTTTTTCGCAAGGATTTACTCCTACCTAAAAACGTAATAGTACCTACAACAAAGATCTGACAGCAATTTTCGAATCAGTGAAGTACTTTAAGCATTTTTGCTTCCTCATAAAGGAAGCCTTATAGTGATGTCGATTTCCGAATTTTTTAGAACGAATTATTTTTACAAATTTTCAAGTGTAGTATATATAATTCGTCGAGAGGAACAAATGTCCGGATGTATGTGTGTATGTATGTGTGTGTCTGTGTGTGTGTATGTCACCGATTCTTGTGGACAAATTTTCTCTTACACGTCTTGACGGATTTTCATAAAATTTTGTAGGTGTATTACTGTCACGAATACCAAAAATCAGACAAAAGGATTTTCAAAAATATCTAAAAAAAAAATTTTTTCAACAATTTTTTAATTTTTGAAAAAATAATTTTTGGATTTTTTGAAGTAACTTTTTTCTATATTAAAATTTTTATTAATTCTTGTCAAAATTGCATTCCTGACATAAAAACGAATCGATTCATGTATATAAAGTATATATTTTATCAAAATTTATAGAATTAATAAATATTTTAAATTTTCACAAAAAATTGGAATTTTGTATTTTTTGACATTTTATCTTAACACTTTAAAATAATTATTCTAAAATAAAAAATTAAACAATTGGTATATATTATATTGAGGAAGCTTAATGATCATGAAATGAACAACTTGTTTTTATTTTAGCGAACAAAAATTTTTTTTTTAGTCACCGACCATAAACCGTTAGTTTATGCTTTCAGCTAGAAATCCGACAAAGCTTCTATTCGCCAACAAAATCAATTATCATTTATTTCGCAATTTACAACCTAAATTGAATACCTGCCTGTCAAAGAAAATGTGGTAGCAGATTCCTTATCTTATTTAGATGCAATTATTTTTACGTCCGATTGTAGCTTGTTTCAAAAAGAAAATTTAGAACCTCAAACTCTTTTGAAGGGAAATAACAGCTCTTTCAATTTGAAACAAATTCGTTGGGGTACTGATCACACCTCTATTGTCTGTGACCTGTCGGGAGAAGTCCTTCGTCCGTTTGTTCCATCAATTTTGCGTAGACGTATTTTTAATCTTTTGCATAATCTGGCCCATCTCAGCGCCAAAGTAACTAACAAAATTATTTCCAAAAGCTATGTTTGGACTGAGATGAATAGCGACGTTAGAGGATGGTGTAGGAATTGCTTAGCTTGTCAGAAAGCGAAAGAATCGCGACATACCATACTTTTACCATCACATTTTACCGCGCGGGAGAACCGATTTCAGTACGTACACATTGATATTATCGGCCCACTCCCGGTATGTGACGGACACCGATATTGTCTTACCGCGATTGATAGATTTTCACGTTGGCTCGAGGCTATTTCTTTGAAAAATATGGAAGCAACAACAATTTGCAGGGCTTCTATGGATGGTTGGGTTTCCCGCTGTGGTTCACAGAGAACTATAACAACGGATCAGGATAGTCAATGTGAGTCTTGGATTTTTTCGGCTTTTTTACAACTCATTGATAGCGAGCGAATCCGAACGACTTCGTACCACCCGGCTTCTAATAGAACGGTGGAACGATGGCGTATCGACAAAAAATTCTTAAAAACATGCTTTTCACCGTTTAGAGTTACCCCCCCCCCTTACGTAATAACGTCCTGGACTCAGGAGCATCACCGGCCGAATTCGTTTTCAGTACCACACTACAGGTTCCCGGAGAATTAATTCTTCCGAAGGATTTTAGTCCAAATTGACAGATTTTCTTGCAGGAGTTCAGAGAACACATGCATAATGTAAAGCCAATTCCAGTCGAACACCGTCATAAACAAGAAATGTTTGTTCACAAAAATTTGTACACTTGTTCTCATGTTTTCATAAAACAAATTATGATTAAAAAGCCACTTGAACCTCCGTATTAGGGACCACACAAGACCATAAATCGTACCGTAAACTGGGGCTATTAGGAACAAATTTTAACTTTAAAGTCTTGCAACTTTTTTGTGTATTGAAATATTGCCTTAATTTTTTGTTTCTTTTCTTGATCTTGGTGAGCACATTTAAAGGTTAAATAATTGCCCTGATCAAAGCTGAAATTTTAAGCAAAAAAGACGAAAAAGACGCATTTTTTCGAAATTTCAAAATGGGGCTATTAGGAACAAGGCGGTAAAAACCATTGGAAAACGTATTTCAAGTTAAAGAAGTTATTTTTTATTGCTTAAAAGTAACCACAGAATATAAAACAAATGTAAAAACAAAACTAAAAGAGCGAACGTGTGTTTTAAACGTTGTTGTTATCATCAGTTGAGGTCGATGGTGGAATCACTGGTCGTTTTTTGCAACTTGTCGGTACCAACACTCTTTTACAATTTCGAACCATCTTTGAACACTAAAAACCAAATAAGGTGATAAAAAATAAAAGTAATTACGAAAAACTTACGTTTTGACAACACACTTTAACAATTCGGAAGAAATAATTGTGTTCCTTATATACCCGCCGTTTGTGAAATTTGGTTTTTGTTTCTAAAATCTTACTGTAAATACAAAATAAACGTATTTATTACTTAGTGAACTCAATAAAGTTTCCCATAAGAAATCCCATTAATAAAAAACAATCACTTTGAGAAGTTAAAAATGAAACAACTTACCTCAGCAAAATTTTATTTGTTAAAAAAATAGGTGTGCAAATGTTAAATGTTACGATAATTAAAGTGTTATTTAAATATTTTGCAATATAATTTTCTATAGTACCACAAATGCACAAAAATTTTCATCAATGTGTTTGTATTCGAAACACAACACACATTTAATTTTTGTGTTATGCCGTGTTCGTGTCGGTCCCTGAGAGAAACATTTCGACATTACAAGTTTTTTTATAGTTATTGTAAGAGAGAACTTAAACTTAAAAATTTCGGAGATATGAAACCAACAAGTGTAAAATTAGAATAGATTTTATTTACGTATTTATGTTTTAAGCCATTAACCCTTTACCTTACATTATAGATAAACATAATATGGACATATCAATATCGTTTTAAGCTAACTTAAAAATATCTTTGATCATGTATATAAAATTTTACAAAAAATGCGTATATAAAATCTTAAAGTTCGTCTTTTTCAATAACTGCTTCCAAATCACGAATGCTGCCAACAAAGAGAGGAATGTTAATTGGTTTATAAAGAATAATGAATGAGAATGGTCGGTCTACTCGAAATTCCTCAGGTTCGTCAACGTCAATGCTTCTACGTAACCTCATTTGGACACCTATAAAATAATTAATTATTTATTTGTAAAGCACTTCGAAGAGAGGTACCTAAGAAACAAAAATTTTTAGTATTGTTTGCAATTTTTTAAGTAAAAAAAACGAACAACTCACTTCAATGTCACTTTTACGTCACTATCAATAGTGAAAGTGAAATCAGAGCAAAGTGAGCATGACGTGAGAGAGAAGTAACAGTAAAGTAAGTGTGTAGAAGAAATGATGTGAGAGTAAAGTTAAATAAGAATGTTGTGAAAAAGAAAGTGTAGTGAATACAAAAGCAGCCCAGATATATTTATTAATATAAGCACAATTTAATACCTGAAGCTGCTGCAGCTTCGGAACCCTCCTCATCAACTTCAATGAAGACTTTCTGTATAACATGGCTTACTTTGAGTGGTACATTTGATATTCCATTAAATTCAGCATCATCTTGAAATATTTTACTTATTCCCATCTAATAAAAAAATTGTTTATATCAATTAAATAGTAAAATATATTCCTTTTTATAGACTAATGAAATATATAATTTTAAAAGGATAGTACACCCTGAAATTTTTTTTTCTAAAATGTAATTGTTTCTTTTAAGAATAAAATAAGATATCTAAATGAAACTTTGCACATATATTTTCACAACATAATATTTTACAAATAATTTTTTTGTAAGATATGTTGTGAAAATATAAGTGCAAAGTATCATTTGGATATCTCTTTTCATTCTTAAACAACTGCATTTAGAAGAAATATTTTTTTTTGTTTTAAGGTGTACTGCCCCCTTAAAATACTTTATGTTTTTTCTAAATCGATTTCTTTTTTTTAATATAATATATAATAGTAATATAAGTATAGCTCACCTTTTTTAAAGTTTCTTTCAAGCTCACTTTTAGTTCTAATTTAAATTTAGGTAAAAAAAGTTCCACTTTGGAGTTACGCAGAGGAGCATTAAATATTGTGTCCCACTCAAAATTCTCTTCCAAAGATTGCAAGCCATTAACATCATTTGGTAAAATTATTACCATTGAGAAATCGGCATTCTGTAAAATTCATATATTTAATTGATAACAGAGGGAAAATTTTGGGCATATTACAGAGACTATAGGGAATAATTTTATTCAGTTATTACACTGGGTTATACAAAAAAATGTTGGGTTAAAAAAATGTTTGCTTACAAATTCTTAGGTTTATTGAAACTTCAGATGTCACTGAATTAGAATACGCTAAAAACAATTTTTTCATTTGTGACGCGCTCCCAAGAAAGGCACCTACGAGGCAAAAAATTTGAGGTTATGTTTTTAATTTTTCGAGTAAAAGTACAGAAAGTGAATCAATTATTAATTCAAAATTATTGATCTTCAAGTCTTCATTATATCCAAAATATTCAATGAAAATTGGTTTCAAATTTAAATAATTAAAAATAAACTTTAAATCAAGATAAATATTACACGAACCTAGCCTATAATTCGTTTACTTCTTAGGTACCTTTCTTGGGAGCGCGTCATACTTAGTCAGTTCCATAAAAAACGAGATTAAAGTGTCAAAAAATCGCATATTTATAGCTCTTTTTAAAGCACTGTAAAATAAAAACGCAACGTGATAAAAATATCTAAAAGGGCTCAATTATAAAGGGAAAGAAATAGTTAAAACAGCCAGATATCCGTGACTTCATTTCTTCTAGGCTCACTTCTACTGATCGAAGCGCCTATCGCAGAGGAGAAGATCACTATTTAAAAACAAAACTAATACTTTCTCATGTGATGAGAATGTAATAAGCCATGATATAACCTCTAATTTTGTTTATAAAAGTAATTGTTAATATATTTGAATTAACCCTTTAACGCCTGCGGGACATATATGTCCCACTTACAAAAACCACTGTAAGTTTTTTAAATATTAATATTTTTTAATCAGGTTTGACTTAATTTCTTTAGAATCGGTCAAGGTACAAAAAATAAAAGTAAACTATAAAAAAAATTTTAATATAAAAAACTAATAAAACGTTTATGCAAATAAGAAAAATTGTTTTAAAAAGTCGGTTAGCTCATGTAACGACAGTAGGGTAAACAAAATTTTTGAAGCACATTATCTAATGTGTTTTGAACCAAGGAATACAATTATCGTCCTAATTTTGAAAAATACGCAAAAATTTAAAAATGGAACATTCAAGATGGCGCTTAAGACAAAGAAAAAGTATCTTCACTTAGAAATAAGAGGGCGTGTTGGAGCACATTTTCGAGTCATGTTGCGCGACTCAACCCTGTGTTCTGCTAGACACTTTTCTGGGGCGAGCAGCGTTCCCCTGAGTCGAGGCGAGCTGTATTTAAAGTGTATTACACGCTGGGGACCGCTGCACGCCCCAGAAAGTGTGTAGAAGAATTCAGGGTTGAGTCGCGCTCATGACTCGAAAATGAGCTGCAACGCGCCCTCTTTTTTCTCAGTGTTACATTATCCGAATAGTAAAAAATTAAAAAAAGAAATATAAAGTTTCTTGAAGTTTTCGAGGTAGCTGATTACGAATTTGATGTCAAATTAACAATTTGACAGTTGTAACGATCGTAATCATTCCTGTATTATCAATCGTTACAACCGCTCAGATTGTTATTGTTAATTTGATAATAGATAGTAAGAACTAATTTGAATTCGCGCCCTAGAGCCAACTTTTGTCACCAGGCGCCGCGCGCGCCGGAACTACCGGACGACAAAAGCACATGTTGCTTTTGCCGGATGAAGCACCTTAGATTGATGCGAACCATAGAATAGTAAATAGCCTTCGCGCTTATTAATATTGTAAATCATTTATTATTGTTAATAAATTTTATAGTATTTCTTAATTAGTGCGCATTGTTATTACTCATTGTTGTGCTGTATAACTAAAGAGTAGAGTGGCGCAGTGCAGTTCAGAGAGGAAACATCGGTAAGTTTGTTTAATTTCTCCATGTACTTGGCTTCATCTTGCAAAGAAGGAGGGATGAAATTTTGACAAGTTCAAAGGATTTTTGGTCGGTAAATTGTGTAATCCCGTTTAAGTCTTACCCACACCCTAATTAATAACAAAACAATTAAATTCATAAATAGGTTGTCACACAGTTGACAGTTGTCAAACCAATTGTCGACTTTTATAAAAGTGATTTATTTTTGATAAAAATGACTCTAAAAGGGTTTACACTATTTACAAACAAATATTAAGAAAAAGCAAACTTCTGTTACTGAATATTTAAAAAAATTATAATTTATTACTTTCATTAAATTTTATGTAACACTTGTTCAAATTTCAAATACTAAATAAATCACTCATGCACATTTTAATTTAAACTTAGTATGGCTATGTTTAATAATAATCGGATATAACAAACAAAAATTGACGATCCCTTCAATCAAGCTATAAGCGGTTTCTACTGTATTCATAAACTCTTAGGAAAAAGTGTTGTAATCATGTCGAGATGTTGTTCCCACCAAAAATAACAAAATATTTTTAAAAAGTCATGTTGTTTGCGAGCTTCACTTTAATGAAAATGATATTGCTGAAGTGCAAAAACAAATACCAACGGGAACATTTATGAAATGCCAAGAGAAACACCACTTTTAAAAGACGGTTCTATGCTAACAATTTTTCCTTATAATTATATAAAAATATTAACTGCACTGAACAATAATAATAGCAGACGATTATTAGTGTCACTTTTTCACTCTAAAAAATAATAGGCAGAATGTGCTTTTTACTTAGTCAATTTTTGCCTAAGTACAAAAGCAATACCTCAAAACCAATGTTTCTTGAAAAAAGCAATTTTTGCCTTAGTTAATAAGGTTAAAATCACAAGGCAAATTTTTATTTATGTAAATGTTTAGAAAATACGATATGAAATAATTATGTTTTACCTTTTTATTAATTAAATTTGCAATTCAAGTGAAAAGGAACTTTTATTTTTATTATTACATTAATAATATTTTACTTTAATTAAATAAAGAAAATAATAGATCTACTTTATTAATTTTAATAATAGTTATGCATGTGTGAACTTTATAACCAAAATGGTTTAGTTTTATGCGTAAACAATTTTGTTTAAAAAATAAAATTAGTACCTTTAAATATTTTAACAAAATTTCCTCGATTCCATTTCAGTAGTAAATTTCTTACTTTGGTATCTATTATTTTAGTTAATTATAAAATTCGATTTGACATAAACAATTTACTTGATAAATAGCAAGAATTTATTACTTTGTTAACTAAGACAAAAATTGCCTTTTTAAAGAAATAATCGCTTTGTGTGTATTGCTTTTGTACTTAGGCAACAATTGACTCAGTAAAAAGCACATTCTGCCTATTATTTTTTTCAGTGCGGCGTAAATCTGTTTATTTGTTGATAGATATAACAGGGTAAATATAATCGCAGTGTCTATTTCATTCTTCTAATAAGAAGAATTAATTATTTCGCCCGTCATGAAAACTAAGTAAGTGAGGGAAACGGACCAATAGTATTGATATATTAATTCGCCCGTTTTTGGTTCTAATTAATTTATATAGCAAAAAAGGTTAATATTTAAATACAGATAATCACTGTATTCTGGGTTATCATTATATATAGTCTTAGATAAGTAAACAATCGTTGTAGATTACAATATTTTAAAAAAAATTTCAAGTTAAAAAAATGAAATAATGTATAATATAATAAAATATTATGTAACGTTGCAATTTTGCTCTTTTAATTTTGTCCTCGACCATGGAGGAAAAATGTGAAGCTCTGCTTAATATTCTATATTTTGTAATTTAAATAAGGAGAGAATTATAATAAACTGTACAAAATAATTAAAGCAATAATCAATTTACAGCAATTCATAAATAGATACATCTCATGGATCCAAGAGCAATCCAAATTATATATTACTTGTCACTGCCTTTCAATAATGTTTTCAGCCTATCAAACTCAGCTAATTTGGCGCGGAGGTACTATTTGCAATTGACTCTCAGTTGGAGCGAGTAGAGTCAGGAGAAACAGTTTGAGGATGAAGCAGACCGGGACCACCAATAATAATTGTTATAATTATTATTTTGTTAATTTCACTGCTCCATTTGGTCCGAGTTGCACACATATCCAAGATTAATTGTTCTTCATTAAATTGTACAACGCGCCTGCGAGGCTGCAACCTGTTAATCCTATAAGTACGAAAAAGGTAATTTTCATACTTATCAGCAGGGTCGCCACCACATGGGTTTTGAATAGGCGAATTAGGCGAGAAAAATGTATAGCACGGTCTTCATGTTTTGACTGCCATGGCCGACGCTTCAAAATAGCGACAATAAAGTCAATAAGTTGATAAGTCAATAAGTTTTATAAGAATAAAGGAATAAGTTGAGCAATAAGTTTTAAATAAAAAGATTCGCCGGAAAACATATTGAAATGGCAGTAAGTCAAAGTGTCAATAGAGAATCTTATTAAAGCTAAATTAAATATAAAATCTTGGATGCTTGAGTATTCTTTAACCATTGAAACTTTGTTATTTTCTATTTTATAAATTTGAATTAATGTTTTACTTTATTAGAATAAATCGAATTGTGTGATATTAAATTTAACTTTGTGTTTATTTATTTATTATTAAAAGTCATCCTACGAATCCACTTGGCCGGGTAAAATAATATATAATAAATATGGCAAATAATTAATTTCTAAAGCCAGGCGCTCACATTTAATTACCAAGATCGCCTTTATTTCCTGTCAGTAGTCGAGTGGTCCCTAGCTCGATTTAAAGTCAATTAAAAATCATTTATAATTATTAAAAGAGTAATTGACAGGTTATAATTAATACCATAACTTGGAAAAAGTTATTTTTATTTATATACGGGTCAGAATTTCTCAAACGGATCACCTAAAACTAACAAATTTTCTTCTTGAACCAAAATAGTTTTTTTTACTCTTAACCACTTCACTGGCGGGGCGTTCCAAATGGCGTTCCACGCGCCGAGGCCCAGACTGGCAAAAACACCGAAATGGCGTTCCTAATAAAACAATATTTTTAAAGAGTGTACACTACTTTTAACTTA